TTTGTTGTTTTCTGTATAGATTCCAGCATGTGCAGTAATTTGCTCCTCCTCAATTAGATGAATCTGTGCTTCGTTTTCACCAATGTATCCTGCCTGAATCACTGATCATTTTTGCTGTTACACAGTCTCTCTGCCCTCATACCCTTTTTTTTGTTGCTGGCGTACACAAAAGGGGAACATAATTGCTACCAGGTGCAAAGGAGAAGATATAATGTGAACAAAGATGAGGCACAATCTAGCTCTGCAGCCTGGAATGAAAGTCACTGAAGAAAGACCAATGTTAAGAGGTGTTAAATATTCAACGCCATATACCTAGAGCGTAGATAAACTAAGGTAATGGGAGAATGATAAGAGAATAGGAATGGTAACTACTAGAAAGGAAATTTGAATTGGATACTGAAAACATGCCTTTTCGCAATGAAATAAAGGTTTAGAATAACTGTTTAACTTATTTTTGTAATGCTGACGTACAAAAATAGAATGAAACTGGGTCGTGTTCATCACAAAAGCCTATCGCTCTGTTCATCTTCAAGTCACTACTTCTTGCTGACTTCCTTCACAAGTCTTTTAATTTCTCTTCTTCTCTTTTTTCTTCTTCCTCTCTCACTTTCTGTGTGCTCTTGTCATTGAAGTACATTCTTTTTCTGTAATGTGCAACTCTCTCTCTCTGTTTTTCAACATCCCAACACCTCAGCGTCCTGAAACGCACAAACCTTCTGAAAATCTGTTAATCTTTCTAACATTCCATAGTCACCCCTGTCTGGCAAAACTCCTTTGGTCTCAAATTTAAAACTACTAATTGATGTAGTTAGCGAGAATGGCTACAATAATATAGTGCACTATAACAGTGACAACATCAGTGATATCCAAGAAACTCTGAAGAAAGGATGCAATAGACTGTACAGTGACAGGTATACTTATGGAGATTATGTGGAGTTTGCAGGAATTTACCAGTCAGAGGGCAATCATTCATGGGGAAGGAGAAACCATTAAAGGCCACAAACAACGAGAAGAAAGAATATCTATCTCCCCATTGTACAGTATAGAACCCTGAGTCATAAGATTCATTGCAACACAAACCAATAGAGTTTACAACTATTGCTTTTTGAGGGAAACAGTTCCACACTTTTTCCACATTTTATGTGATATGGTGTTTCCTAACTTCTCCCCTGAATGGCCTTGGCTCTGTTTTTGGGTTAGATCTGCATGTTGTTTTGTTTTTATTTATTCATGGATGTAGGTGTCACTGACCAGGTCAGCATTTATTGCCCATCTCTACTTGCCTAATGAGCAGTTAAGGTTCAGCTACATTGCTGTGGGTCTGGAGTCACACTTAGGTCAGACCAGGTAAGGGTAGCAGTTTCCCTCCCTAAAGGGTATTAATGAACCAGATGGGTTTTTCCGAACAGTCACCACTAGACTATTGATTTTGGATTCTTTTCTTATCGAATTCAAATTCCACCATATACCTTGATGGGATTCAATACCAGGTCCCCGGAATATTGCTTGGGTCTCTAGATTAATAGTCTAACAATAGTAACACAACACTATTGCTTCCCTGTGTCCTACCTAACCTTGCTCCGTGCCCAATTTTCCTTTTGATTACTTTTGGATGTGGGAGGAATGAAAGAATCTGCATTTATATAGTGCCATTTTTAGCCTCCAAAGTCATCGCTGCAAAACAGGGGGAGGGGCAGCCAATTTGTGCACAGCAGGATCACACCGACAGCAATGTGATAATGACCAGATCATCTGTTCTGGGGATTGTTGGCATGGGGATAAATATTGGTCAAGATGGTAGGGAAAACTCCCCTCCTCCTCTTCAGAGCAGCTCTACAGGATCTTTCATTTCCTCCTGAAAGGGCAACGTGATCTTTGGTTAATGTTTCATGCAAAATACAGTACTCCTCCTCCTGTGAAGTACTCAGGGAGCAGGATTAGTCAGCACCGAGATTGTACTCAAGTCTTTGGTCTGAGATGTGAGCTCACCCACGTCTCACTCAGGTGCTATTCAGGATACCAAAGCCGTAAAATTGCAGCAAGTCTGAAACTTCAAACACACTTATTTTGAATTGCCTTCCTCCCCAGCTTAGAAAGCATGCAATGCCTGGAACGATGCACGGTCAGTTTCCAATCAATAACGTGACTCACAATGAATTGGTGGCCATTTTTTATTGCGGGTACTGAATTCTAGAACTTTTCCTCACTCGTGTGCAGGAAAAGATGACACAAGCTATGTGGCGAATTTTATGAACAGTCCATAGGTGAAGGCTCCCCAGTTCATTACGACACCTGTTGGGATATCCCAAATCATTAAACTCCCAGGTAAGGAGGGATGAATTAACTGCCCTTCTTTATTCACTGCCCCCTTGGTTGGTCACTAATTTGAAAAGGTTAATTTGAAAAGGGTGCCTTCTTTTGTCGGTTCCTTCCACTCAGACCAAATGAACTTAAGTTTAAAAGGAATCAATTTTCCCAGGGCTTGCTTGCTAACAAAATAATGAGCTTAATTTTTATTAAATGCAAGAAAAAATAATGATGCAACTTACATATACATGGATTGGGAATAAGAAGTGAGCATAAAAATATAGATAATTGGAGCATAGGAGGTTGAGAGGAGACCTGGTAAAGATAAGGTGAATGGCAGGTGTCTTTTCGCTAGGCATGGGGGATTTCAAGACTAAGAGGCATATTTTTAAGGTAAGAGGAGAGACATTTAAAAGACACAAGGGACAACTTTTTTACACAGAGAGTTGTTCGTGTGTGGAATGAACTGCCAGAGAAAGTGGGGTATGGGTACATTTACAATATTTAAAAGGCATTTGGATAAGATCATGAACAAGAAATGTTTGGAGGGATATGGACCAAGCGCAGGCAGGTGGGACTAGTTTAGTTGGGATTATGGTCAGCATGGACTGGTTGGACTGAAGGGTGCTGTATGACTCTATGGCTCAGTCATGAAGAGTAGCTTGTATAACAGTGCAGCTATTGCAGTGGATGTTACTGGTATTGGTCACATTGGTGGTTGAGCATTCAGTTTCAAGGTCCTTGGTTTGGCTCGTTGACTGAAATGCTTTTGTCCTGGTTCCTTTTAACAGTGCCAGTAGCAGCACTCAGAGCAATAAAGTATATTTCTTTCTGCCTCCAGTGTATAGTGGCTGCAATTATCAAAATGTGACTTTCAGGACACATTAATCCACACATTAATACGTCAGGCCACTAATGCATACAGACCAGAATTTGCAGTTGGTTTTTACCCCTTACTTTGTTTGTCCCTGGAACGTGCCCACAGGAAATGGCTCCCTGTTTTTCTTTTTGTAGGAGGAGGGTGGTGGTGGTCAGAGTCTCACTATCTCCTTGTTGTTACTCTTTCTGTTTGAAGTTTCCCTCAAGTGACAAGTGTGCACTTAGGAATCCTCCGCCATGGAATCACTGATTTTACATTTGCAGTCAGCTTTTAAGAAGCATGTGCTGGGATTAAAAATTCACTCTGTCCAGAAGTTCTCTGGGGTTTGTCCATCGCCAAATACACAACTAGCCATTCCAGAAGAAACACATCAGGAAAAGGGAGGAGTGTTCAGAGGCTTATGACTCCCTTTAAGAAGCTCCTAAGAATTTTTCTCTTTGGTATTTTGATTGGGTAAGGTGGGAGGCAATGGCCTAGTGGTATTATCACTAGACCTATAATCTAGAGCCTCAGTGAATGCTCTGGGGACTTGGGTTCAAATCCCATCATAGCAGAATTTGAATTCAATTTTTTAAAAAACAGTCTGGAATAAAGAATCTACTGATGACCATTGTTGATTGTCATAAGAAAACCATTGGGTTCACTAATGTCCTGCAGGGAAGGAAATCTGCCATCGTCACTTGGTCAGCCTACATGTGACTCCAGACCCACAGCAATGTGGTTGACTCTCAACTGCCTGCTGGGCAATGAATGCCGGCCTAGCCAATGCTGTCCATATCCCATGAATAACTTTTTAAAAAAAAGCTCCTTAATTGCGATCTTTGGAAACAGCTTGGGGTATTGTAACAGCTCTGTGTAAGTGCCAATTGTTGTGAAATGCCTATGCACGGATGTCAGTATGTCAGTCTTGGTGGGCTGTGTGAGGAGGGCAGGGAGACTGAATATCCCTGCGGAGTGGAGGCCACTTGGAATCATCTGGTTCTCTACTTCAGCCGAGGGAAATATTCCGCACGAGCACAGGAATCCTGGCATCTGGGATGACAGCAGACGTGACAAACAGCTCGGGGTGGCAAAGAACTGAAGTCATAGAATGTAAATTTTTAAACAGTGCAAAATTAAAGATTTTCTAAACAGCAGACGGCCAGGGCAAGAGAATGAAATCAAACCTTGACAGAGGTCACAGATAGCTTCGCGAGGGTGGTGAGTCGAATTTCAGTCGGGATCCGGGCTAGCATTACGAAGGAGATCATGAGCAGGATCTGAACTGCCTGTCTCTGACACAGAGTAACCTGAGTGGACTTTACTCTTCATCCAGCAGCCTGAGTCTGTGGCCCTACCATCTGACCTTTCACCCCTGGCCAACCCCGGCATGACCTGAGGGCGACAGGCTCACAATGGGCTGCAGTTCCATGGACACCAGTTGTTCTCTCACACCACGTCCAATCTTTTGTGTTAGGTTGGAGGACTGTTGAACCTCGGGAGGCATCATAACAAAGTCAAATCCTGCCCTCAGCTGAAATCTACATACACTAGAATGCAATCTGTGAAAAAGTGGAACCTTTAGGAGCTTTGGAAAATTCTCTCATAAGGTTTGCCAAGTAAAAGGTTTGCCCAGCCAGTGGAGGTGTGAATAGCCTCCATTATGGAATGTGAAAAATGCATAATGCCAGTAAATCAAACAAAACTAATGTTCCATTTTATTTAGTGAAATAATTCTACACGGATCATTTGAATCACAATCGCAGCATTTTTAAAAACGTCAAATTCATGGCCTTACGCATTTGAGGCCAAGAGTTAATCACATTCGTGCCAAGCATGGTTAAGGCATCATTGCAGCATCCCTCTGGATCAGATGTGCACTATGTACATTGGACCCCCTTGTCCAGCAGTAATGTGGGTACTATTGTTTCCTGGGTGGCTTTCTTTCTCTAAGGTATTATGGGATCAGAACATGTTCCACACTAAACATCTGTATCCTTTATGTAAGCTACCAGGGCATCTACTCAATACATTATCAATTCACAGCTTCCTCATCCTTCCATCTGTTACCATGGACGTCTTGCATGGAACTTGATTTTCCACATGGCTTTAATATCTGAACATTACCACAGACTTGAATTTTATTCCTTCAGCCATAGTACCCCTGTGAACCCTCCCTTCTCCTGTGGTTTTCACTTGGGTTGGTTTTGCACCTTTTCACTCCATACTTCAGATGTCGGGCAGATTGAAGTTCATAGACACTCCATCCACGTTGCCTGCGTGAGATGATGGTTACTGGTGGCACTGTCTGATGATAAATCGATGAGAATATGGTCATGTTACATTGAGATCTTTTGGCAGTATCTGAGTGATGTTGATCTTCTGCTGCAACATGTGACAAATCCATTCTGTAAAACCGCAGGTTTGTTGCTCGGAAATTTCTGCTGGACTCAGAGATTGATTTGGCCTAGTTAAGTGCAGGTATCTTGTCACAATCCTGGAACAGAACACCAACCTCATATTACAATTCTTCACATTTTCTGATCTGGCCTAGAAACTCCGTCTCAAGTGCCACTCTATCATGGATTGTCCGAATGACAGGTCCTGTCCTGGTTAATCACCATGATATTCCTGGTTTACACACCTCTGGATTCTGAAGCTGTGCTGCAGTGCTAATTCACAAGCATATGTCAGCTACAGCTAGAGTTACCTATTTGGTTCTGTCTTCAGGTTTCTCCCCCCAAGCTCTAATCTTGTTCAGTTGATCAAACAAATACTGCTCGAGAGCTTTCGGATGCCCACTCTCTTGGAGGCATCAAAGTGAAAATAGCCCACTGGCTTCTGTTATGCTCCTCATCATTTCCTCCCTCAACGTGTTGCCACTTTCTCAGCTCCCATTTGCTACTCCAACAGCTAGCTGCCTACTGACCTCTAGAACCTCTTCTTACATTCCAGTGGCACAAGGGAGTGCTTCTCCACTAAGTCCCTGACACAGAATCTATGTATTTCAGTTGCGCGCCCCCCACCCCCCCCCCCCCACTGCCCCCAGCAGTACAGCTAAACTGTAACACTCCTAATGTGTACTCTGCATCTGGCTCACATCTTCACTCGTTGTATGTAATGTCTGAGCTCCCCTACAGTGACCCCCAAATTGTTGCAATCGATTGCAGGGCACAGAATTGATATGGCGTGCGAAAATGTTGTTCAAAATGAATGAGTAATGATTGATTGTCGTTTGTGCCCTACAATGGTAAAATACAGTGAAAAGCTTCAACTGTCGTGACAATCTGGCGCCCACTTCAGGAATTAAAAGGCAAAGCTGGAAGAAAGTCCATCCTCGCTCCACCGTGGGTCCTGAGCCCTGGAGCTGGCAGACCAACAACACCCCCGCCGCCACCCGTGCCAGACCCATCAACGTTGGAGTCAACACTCTTCAGGCACCATCTCTTCATCGCTGGGGCCCACCTCGCCGACAAGCCACCGATGCCGGGTCCCGTGCTGGACCCACACTTGTCCTGCAACCAGGAGCCCCTGGCTCCATGGCCACCATCGCCACACCAACAACCAGGAGATTCTGGTTCTCGTCCTACGGCAACCAGGAACTGCCACCATCGCCATGCCAACACCCAGGCATCCCTGCTCTGGGCCTACTACAACCAAGAGTCCTTGGCTCCGGTGCCGGGCCAGGCTGCCGCTTTGCAAAGGGTCCCAGTCCGCCTCCACGATGTCACCTCCTCCACCACTGCCAGGGAAAAGACGAAGAAAAAGGAAAAAGAGAGACAAAAAGGTAAGGAAAGAAGGGAGGAAGCAGACACCTGGAGCAGATGGACTCAGGAGACCGAATGCTGCCTACCTTGCTGCCGCTGCCATCTTGGATCTGTACATTTTATCTGCATTGTTCAACGCATTGTATCTGTACCAGCTCTCTGAGTAAACATTCCACCTTTTCCCAATAAACATGACTATAACACAATCCGTTCTGAGGAAGGGTCACCGGACCCCAAACGTTAGTTCTGTTTTTTCTCCTTCACAGACCTACTGAGCTTTTCCAGCAACTTTGTTTTTGTTCCTGATTTACAGCATCCGCAGCTCTTTCAGTTTTACTTTAAACCTGAATATAATTTCTTCTAAATGCTCTCTTGAGTGACTCAATTGAACCTGCCTCCGCTACCCTTCTGGACAGTGCATTCCACACTCCCCTCCAGCCCCACCACGCCCGGCACTTTTCCCTGCAACCGCAGGAAGTGCCACACCTGCCCCCATACCTCCTCCCTCACCCCCATCCCAGGCCCTTCAAGAAGACTTTCCACATCAAGCAGATGTTCACCTGCACATCTGCCAATGTGGTATACTGCATCCGCTGTACCCGTTGTGGCCTCCTCTACATCGGGGAAACCAAGCGGAGGCTCGGGGACCGCTTTGCAGAACACCTACGATCGGGTCGCAATAAACAACTGCACCTCCCAGTCGCGAACCATTTCAACTCCCCCCCC